TATAATTACCTACAACTATTTGGTACACATTTAGCTAATCACACATATTAAAAACTACACGCTAAACAACATTTGCGTATACATACATACATACATATATTGGCAACATTTCCCTTTTTTCGACTATTTGGTAAGTAACTGCTGATAGCTTTAACATTTTAGATAGAAAAAATATAAAATTWAAAAAAAGAAATATTTCAAAACACTTTTTAAAGTTTTCTTTTCACTATAACTATAATATATTTGGTTCGTTGTTGGTTTCACKGTTGGCTTGCGCCACTTCAAATGTTCCACATTATTGCCACAACCGCCTGCTTAAATATGTAGTGTTGTCATTGTCGTCGTTGCGGATAACGGCGCATCAGCGCGCTTCCATTGCTGCTCATCGTCGGCTTCCAAGTTTTCCACTGTAATTATGGAGCTACGATTTGTCGTTGCTTTGTTGTTGGCATTGACATTTTTATTATTTTGATAGTTATGCACTTGCAACTGTTCAGCAGTTTGTTGTTGTTTTTGCGCATGTGTCATTTCATGATTTGGACGACGGCGAAATGCCTCAACGGAGGTTATGCGCCGCCAGGAGGTGCCGGTGACCGCCAAGCTGTGGCGTTATATGACATAATGGTTTACCGTTGCAAGCGTTTTATTTTGGTTTTATTTTTGTTATTAATCAATTATTGTTATTGTTATTTATACAAAATTTTGCCACCGATTTTTTATTCAAAATTTAAATTTTTTTTTTTTTTGTGTTGGCATTTCGTAAAACGTGAACGTGTTGAACACACACACAGAGAGAGAAACAAACGCGTGGCGGGAGGGAAGCGCACAAAAGTGGGGAAATAAAAGAAAAGAAAAATGTGAATGACAAATAAATTTACAACAATTTTCATATACATACATATGTATATAMTGCTTATRTAATACAGCTATGTTAGCTAATAACCGGATATTATATTTACACTAATTGAAAGGGGAGCAGGCAGTAGTTTGTCAGATAGGGTCACATGTCAAGGCAGTATATAGTATTTTTTTGAGTTAGTTAATTTTGTTTACAAAAATCATATTTACATTTATTTCGTGAAATTAATGCATACAAACATTGACTACGTTTTTTCAACTAACACCAAATTTTATAGTGAGGTACATTTATGTATATATGTATAGAATATATTTTTGCTACAATTCTTTAACACTAATGTTAGTAGTTTTTAACAAAATTGTGTTTGTTCTATTTTTCTTTTTTTTT